CTGCCCTGGCAGCAGTTTGTGAGGAGCCCTAACAACTCCCAAAGGTTTTTATCTCATCAGGAACAGAGAAGAAGGCTAGTACTCGAAGAGGCAAGTAATTCTTCCTGCCAGTGTTGGCTCTGAACCTCTAGACCAGTGGCGGCGAACCTATGGCACCGGTGTCGCAGCATGGCATAGCCCTCTCTGTTGGCACCCGAGCCAAGTCACCCAAGACCTTGAAAGTGGGCAGTTGAAATACTTTCCAAATCTAAAAATGCATTTAGAGAATTCTCCAAAATTTGCAGACAATCTTACAAGCCAGAAGGAAATATACTAGGAATCATCTAGCATTGTAGCAGCTGCAAAGGAGAATTTTAGTAACAGATTTTACAGTTCCATAAGATGGAGATAACCCTGTGTTTTCTTACTTCTCCAGATAAAGCCAAATCTGAAAAACTAGACTATTCCTGCTTACACTGGTTAGATTTTGGAAATCTGGAAATGGAGCTATTGGAATTTCAAGAAAGCTCTATCTGGAAAATTAAATTCTATGGCCTGCATGCAACACTTGAGAAGATAGAGTGTGAAGAGAGAACAAAGGACAGCAGTTGGTAGTTCTGAAAATAAAATCCTTAAAGTGTGGAATTCTCTGCCAAATAAGTTTAGCTCAGTGAAGGCACTTGGGATTGCTCTTCTTACTTTGTTTGGATCATCTTATGCTTATGAGCAGCTCTTTTCAGCCTTGAATTATATCAAATCTGATATAAGAAACAGACTAACAGATGACCTGAGTTGTTCTCAAACTAACTAAATATAGCCAAGGTTTGACAAATTATCACCATGCATACAACAGCAAAGATCACATTAACTGTGCAAAACCATGCCAAATGCAAACTTTTATCTTTCAACGAAAACCCATTTGCATCATTGAAAGCTCTATTATTGTGTTTTTCTTTTGTGACAAAAGATGTTAATGTATGAGTTTTTTTTTTTTTTTCTAAACTAAAACCTCAGGATTCAGGATTAATTGCAGTGCTGGCACTTGGAGATAAATAAGTGAGTTTTGGGTAGCAGTTTGTGCAATGGGTCTCTAAAAGGTTTGCCATCACTGCTCTAGACAGTCTGGCCACCTGGTCAGAATCAGTGCCATGTGGAGAAGGTTTTATGCATGAAGAGACTGTCTATGACCAATACTCAAGCATCCTTCACTCATTTATGTAAGACAATTAAATGGTATAAACCTCACTCTCTTGTCCACTTGTTGGATGGAGTGCTATGAGTAAAGACAGCAGGCAATGATTAGGGGAAGGAAATGGTTCCTTGAGAGGGCTACAGAATGGATCAGGTTAAAAGTCATCATGGAGTACAGCCAAATTATTAAGATTTTGAAGGATACTGGAAATATGCAGCAGTTAAGTACTTACTGTTTGTATTCTTCCACTAAACAAATCATAGTGGTCATTTTTATAAAGATGGGATAAATTAGAAAATTAGAGATGAGCCAATAATGAAATGTGAGTGAGAATCTCAAATTTGAAGGAAACATTACGTTGTTTTAAAAGTCTATAATATCTGAAGCTAAGGTGAAGTATTTATATTTATTCCTAGGTATAGGGATTTATTTATTTATTTTCCTAGCACTCTATTTCTTTTAAAAGGAAGTAAAATTAGCCACAGGACAACTGCTCCTACTCACAAATGTAAGCTATTTCGTATTTTGATTTCTAACTTTTTGTCCCTAAATTACATTTTTTCATTTTTCCTTTTGTTCTGCTTCTTTGACCTAGCCTGGATAATTTGAAGAACATTTATTTCTTTCTTATTTTGTTCAGTCAAAAATTCCTTTAAAATAACCTAAACTCAAAGTAAAAAGTTATATTTTCAAGATGTATATATAAAGGACATTTTTTTTCATTTGCAATTGGACAACACAGTCATAATTGAAAATCCATTATTTAAGGTAATTTACCTTTCCTCCTTTTTAAAAAATTAAGTTGTTTGTATTAGAAATTGCGTATCATTTGTCTTACATAGGATGACTTGTAAATGTGAAGACTGTAGAGCTCAAGGCCTAGGCCAGGCATCTGGGCCCACTGCTCTGATGTGCAGTTCCTGACAGCCACATTCTATTCTAGCCCCATGGAGCACACAGTATGCACCATGTGTTTGGGAATCCAAGTAGGTGTCACCTACAGGTGTGGCAACTTGAGGGGACTTCCAAAACCTGTTTTTTGCCTTGATCCATAGACTGTGTTCTGGCACCATTTGATGCCCATGGACGAATTGGAATGTCTGGATATTTAGTGAATAATTTAAGAATAAAAGCAATCCTTATGAAACATTGGTACAGCAGACAAAAGCAAGTCTCAGTAAATAGTTATCTATCCACAGGCAAAATATTAATTTCCTTAGAGTCTACATTTAAATTGATAGTAAGGTAAAGAATGAAAATGCATTTTATGTCATGTTTTTCCCCATCCATGATTCTTAAAGGGATGGGTTAAAATAAGATTACAGTTATATATTTATCAATAAACAAAATTCTCCAGATAATATAAGAACATTAAGACAGTATTGTACACAGTATTGGATTTCATTATATTTGTCCTCATAGGGTATTATTGATCACCCAGTTCCACAGCCAGGTAACTACAGGTCAGGGTGGCAATAGAGGGATAGGGGGAGAACATGCAGGGATTCCTGTCCATTAATCTAAAAGCTCAGAGGTACTCTCTGAATCAAGGCCAACGTGGGTAACTAAAAACTATGACATCAGTGCCCAAGAGATCAGTTTGGTTGAGGATTACACCTGCACTGACAGGCTCTGGAACAAGTCTTTGTGCTGCTTTCTTTTCCTTATTGGTAAAATGATGATGAGATGGACAAGAGGATTCCCAAGGCCCTATCTAATTTAAATGCCTGTGATGCAGTTCCAAATTCCCCAAATACCTGTAATGAGAAAATCAGTAGAACCCAGAGCCCTGAGGCTCACACAGATGAGATTCCTCCGGGGGATGCTAGATGGAAGGCTGTTTTCCTAGGAACACTACACTTTGGGCCCCTTTAAGATCTGATATACAAGTGGAACTTCTAGACCAGGGATAGTCTTCTGGATCTTCCTAAGCTATTTCCAAAGCTCACAGAAAGGCCCAAGTGATTGAGTCATCTTCTTGTGTATGGCCCCTGTACTTTAACAGCATTCATCAAGGTTTTTTTCTCATATCTCTGTGGCCAAACAGAAGTGCTTTTGTTAGCTGGGTAGGCCTATAATCCCCACCTCTCTGGGAGGCTGAGGCAGGGGTACTGCACGTTCAAGCTCACCCTGAGAAACATAGCAAATTTAGAAAGACCCTGTCTCAAAATAAAAATAAAACAGAGTTGAGGACATAACTCATTGCAAAGGCCCTAAGTTCAATCCCCAGTACCATTAATTAAGAGAAAAATAGTTCTGTGCTATAGTGGTGTCCTGGATTATGAACAGGCTCCATCCAGTCTGGAAAACTCTAGGCCCAGAAATTCAACAGATATTGTAGTAATCTGAAAGTTTTAAAGCAGTTTTTATGAATGTAAAAAACTGTTGTATGGCTGATAATGTTTTTGTTAGAGAAATCACACATAATTCATTTGCTTTCATTCCTTAACCCTCAATAATTTCAGATTGAAGGAAATAAGAGTTCTAGTAGAGAGTATGCAATCCTTATCACTCCCACAGAAATCGCCTCGCTCTGGTCTTAATCTATGAAATATTGTACAGTGACTCAATGGGTGGTTCTGAAGTCAGACTGCCTGGCTTCTAGTGTTGTCTTCATTTGTCACTAACTGTGTGACTTAGCAAATGAGTTGAACTCTCTGGTCCTCAGATTCCTTCTCTATAAAACAACAATTATATGAATCCATTCCTCATAAAGTTGTTGTAGTAATAAAATGAGATACTATACATAATGAGCTGAGAATAGTATCCAACACAGAGTAAGGGTTAGCTCCCTGGGTTAACAGAATATCTTACGTTGGAAAAAGAAATTATCCCCTTTTAAATTTTTTTTTTTTTTTTCAGACAGAGTCTCACTATGTAGTTTAGGCTGGCCTTGAACTTACTAGGTAGCCCAGGTTGGCCTCAAACTTGCAGTGATCCTCCTGCCTCAGCCTGCCAAATGCTGGGATTACAGGCGTGTGACACCACACCCAGGATAAATTCTCTTTAAAGAGGGGCTGGTTTGAAGTAATGTAAAAATTTAAAAAGTCAGCATGTACCTATAACAAAAATTATCTTGTAAAAGAAAGCTATTTTATTTTAAGTTCTGTTATACTATATTAAAATGTTTCTATTTCCTATTTGCACTCTGCCATGTTTCTGTTTCAGATACTATTTTATTGACCTGCCAAAACTTGTTTCTTAATTTCTTCAGGATTAAAACACCGAACAGAATACTGAAGTTTTGTTGTACTGTGTTAGCGGCCAAATGAATACAACAGTAAGTCAACTAACAATGGGGCTGTGATCTGAAACACGCATTTCTCGGCAAGTTCATTACTGCATGGATCACAGAATGGATGTCAACAAACCTAGATGGTATGGATCAGGCACTCAGGGCGGCCTTGTGAGGCAGTCAAGACACCAAATACACAAGAGAGAGTGAGAGTGAGAGCACTGCCGGCATAACAGGGTAGGCGGTTTTCCAGCGCACTTGCTTTATATAAGTAGAAGGAGTATGCTCTAAAATAGCAATAAAATATAGTATAGTACATACACAAAGGAGTAATATAGTCAACTATTACTAAGTACTATGCAGTGTACACAACTTCATGTGCTATGCTTTTGCATAACTGGCAGGGAAGTAGGTTTGTCTGTATGAGCATCACCACAAACATGCGATGGGAGAGATGTGTGGCCCTACAACTTTACAAAGGCTACAATGTCACTAGGTGATAGGAATTTTCCAGCTCCACCATAACCTTAGGGGACACTGTTGTATGTGGCCCGTCATTGACTGAAAAGTCATTGTGCCCCCAACATGACATACCAGGAGCAGCTACAACAGCAGCACCAGCAGAAGCAGCATGTGTTGTTGGGCCTCTGGTTCCCGGGAGCTTGGGACACAGCAGGTGTTCCTTCATTTTGTGATTGCTGTCTTTTTCGCATTTCAGCTACTTCAGAACCCAACTGGCTGAAAGAAGAGAGAAAACCACAAGGCATGACAAAATGGCCCTAAGGAGAAATTGCCTATACTGAAGGAAGCATAATTGAAGGAAAGGTGAAACCAGTATCTTTAGCAGTCAAACTAAAGATTCTCAGGGGGGAAAAACATATTGGGAGCATATCCTGCTACCTTTGGGGATAAAATGCTACTATATAAGTTTCAGCTGCAGAAACTTATATAGCAATGCTGCCACATAATCAAAATCATTGGTCATGGTAAACATGATAAGGTTTGAAAATTTATTTTTAACTTCCTTCTTTACTCAAGGGTGATTAAATATCCTTTCCTTTATGAGCACCTTTAATGATTATGGGGTGCATATGACTGGTTTCTCTGCTGATGTTTACAGTGAGGCAAATGAAGCTTTACAAATCATTGCTGCAAAGCTTCTAACTATATTAACATAGTGAGGAAGGTCACATTTGTGTTTGGGGCCCTCGCTCCTCCTTTTAAAACACTTGGCCCTTTTGACTCACCCTCCAGAGACCTAACCTTAAAGGCATTGATGACGGACTTTACTTTTGGTTAAAAGCCCACTTTCAAAAGGTACAAGCTTCCTTTCTCCATCCTCTAAAATTTATTTTTATTTAAAAGAGAATTGGGGGAAGACAAAAAGCCATAAAAGTGGAGGGAATTACTTTGGCAGGATTTGTGTACCAGAGCAGATAAAAATCTTGGGATACATATGCTGTATCTATCACCTCACCAGTCAGGGCAAATGAGTTGCCACTTATTTAGAGAATCAGCCCTGATCTAGGACTATATTATAGCTAACAAAGGGTACTTTAGCATAATATTATCAAATTTAGCATAGACTATTGGAAATAGGAATAAATTCTATTGAATGATGCTTTCGGTAAATACGCCATACAAATAATGCCTACATATATATTGTCATATGTATGACAGAGTAATATTAATTAAAACTATAATATGCTTTGGATCTTTTTGCCATTGTGAACTCATTTTTTAAAATTATATTTTCAGTTCTGAATACAACGGTAAGTACTTTTAAAAGCAATATATTCTTAAAAACAAAATAAACATTTCTTTAGACCAGACACTAAGCAGAAAACATCAGTGGTAGATAAATAGGGGCTAAAGCCACAGTCACTTTTACGATTTATGTACAGAATGAGAGGGAAAGGCCCAGTTCTGTGAGGTGTAAACTGTTCCACCATGAGGAATGGGAGACTAGATTCCAAGCTACTTGCATTAAATCAGGGGCTGTAGTTCTGCCACTCATATAAAGGTATCAATGACACTTTCTCTAACCATTCAGTGGTACCCAACTACTGAAGAATAACAATGTATAGAAACCCATTCAGGTAGGACCTATACCAAGGAGCCCAGTGATTCAGTGACAGAGCTAGGAATATCTTCAAAGCCATTTCTGGATGGAAGGAATCCTGAGATACAAATGAAAGATCTGGTTCAGGACTGAGGGTCTCGAGGACTAGTGGAGACAAATGAAAAAGATCAGATTAGGAAGGGCAAAGGAGAGTGAGAACTACACATCAGAAGGCAAAAAGACTGAAATAGCAAATAGAAAGCCAACTCAATAATTTGAGCTCAGTATTCTCTCAAATGGAAATAACAGAATTGCCTAAAATTATTTTAATGTCATAAATTTAAGTTAAACAATATAATAAAGGAAAGAAAGCTACTCATTGGAAAATAAGAGACTACAAAACAAGAATGGACAAACAAGAAATAAGAATAGACACAATGAATAACTGAAATGGAAAACATAAAATCATTAAAAAGATTCTGATGGAATAATACCCTCCCAAAGTTACCACAAAGAGAGTAAGTGATGGTGTCAAAGACTCCATCCAGAATGCAGTGTAGACAGATACATGAAGCATGAGAAAACTGAAACAAGTACAGTAGTAGTACTGAAAGGCTCCAACAGGCAACCAACATGATTTTTATCATAAGGAGAGGATTAACAGATTTTCAGGGAAGTGATATTTTAAGGGAAACTGGCTGAGAATTCACAATTCAAAGAAAACAAAAACACACAGAAAGAGCACACCATATGCTGAACAGGATAAATAAAATAAAAATAAACCCAAACACGTAAACATTACAGAAAAACCACAGATCTACAAGATAAAGAAAAAACTAAATTAGCCCCAAAGAAGTAACACTTTGACTGACAGTAGACTTTTCATGAACAGTATTCAATGCCAATAACCTGAGAGAAATGCTTTTTTTAAAATTAATTTTATTGGTACATTTAAGGTATACAATATAATGACATTCATCATTGGAAATTTGCACCTTTACATAATCTCCCTTGGTTCTTATTTTTTCCGCATTCCCCTGCCCTCCCTTCAACCCCTCCACCCCTCCCTATCTATAAAGACTTTGTTTCCATTTTTCTTTTTCTCATATTAATTCTATTTCCTTCTTTCTTTTCCCCTATCCCTCCCATTTTCTCTTCCCCTTTGCACCTTTTCTTCCTATTTCACATTATCTGTTAGTCCTTATTACACTTTCAGTTTCTCACACTAGAGAAACTATTCGATATTTACACGTGTCCTATTTATTTCACTTAAGAGTATGGCCTCAATGTGCATCCATTTAGCTATAAATGTCTCTAGTTTCTCATTCTTTATGGCTGAGTAATACTCCATTTTATAAAAAAACCACATTTTCTTTATCCAGTCTCCAGTTGATGGCCAATTGGGTTGTTTCCAAGTTTTAGCTATTACAAATTGTGCTGCTATGTACATGGTTCACATATATCACTGTGGTATGATTCTTTTAATTCTTTTGGGAAGCTACCCAGCAGGGCAATACCTGGGTCAAATGGAACTTTCAATCCTAGTTCTTTGAGGTATCTCCATAATGATTTCCACAGTGGTTGTACCAGTCTACATTCCTACCAGCAGTGGAGCAGGGTTGCTCTTTCCCCAGAGCCCTGACAGCATTTGTTATTGATTAATCTCATAATGGCAGCTATTCTTTCTGGGGTGAGGTGGAATCTCAATGTTGTTTTCACAAACAATCAACAAGTGGGATCTCTTCTTATTAAAAAGCTTCTGCACAGCAAGAGAAACCACCAACAAAGGAAGAGACAACCCACAATGTGGGAAAAAATTTCCACCAGCTGTCCCTCAGCCAAAGGTCTGCTATCTAGAATATATAAAGAACTTAAAAAAAATCAGACCTCCCAAATTTAAAGATCCCATCCAGAAATGGGCATCTGAGGTGAAGACATTTCTCAGACAAAGAAATAGAAATAGCAAATAAACATATGAAAAACTGTTCAACATCACTGGTCATTCGAGAGATACAAATGAGAAATGCTTTTTAAATGCTATGGGGGAATAACAGTCATCCTATAATGTTACATTCAGCTATATAAGAATTTAATAGCGGAGATTATTTATTTATTTATTTTTGGTACCACAGATCTAACTCGGGTCCCTGCACTTGCGAGGCAGGCGGCGCAACCACTGAGCTAAATCCCCGGCCCAGTGGAGATTATTTTTGATAAGTTAGCTAAATTATTAAAGTTTTGCTGGACTCCACTTCAGTCAGAAGACAAAATTTGTGGAAGGTGTCAGGCTATATTAACAAGCACTGAAATTGGTTTTAAAATATGACACTGAATCTAATGATTGGCTAAATCAAAACCATATGTTTCCCTATGTGGAAGCAATCAAGAACCAAAGTTAAGATGATTTAATTAGAAAAATGGAAGGGCTATCCCACCCCTCCATTGAAACTGATTTTATAGTTATCATAATGTCTCTAATTTTGATATTAGAGTCATGTTGTCATCTTCTACTGGGCTTCTATGGTTGGAATATTGATTTTCTGACCAAAACTCATATTGAAGCTTAATTCTGTAGTGTGATGGTGGAAAACGGGTTGTGGGACCCATAAGAAGTAATTAGGACATGGGGGCTTTACCCTCATGAATGTGTTAATGTAGTTCCAATGAGAGTTGGTTAGCTATCATGAGAATGGGTTGTTACACAGCAAGGGTCCCCCGTATGTTTTCCCTCTTTCACCACTGCCTGCTTGCCACCATTTTCTGAGCTAAGTTGAAGCAGCATGTGGCCCTCACCTGAAGCCTAGACGAACACGCATTTTCCAGGTTCCGGAACTATGAGCCAAACTAAAACTATTTTCTTTATAAATTATCAAGAATTAAATATTCTATTATAGCAAGAGAACGAACTAAGACATGGGCCTTTGTATGACACTGCAGTGGACTGAATGTGTCCCTTCAACCCTAATCTCATACTCCAGGCCTCCAGAACCATGAGAGATAAATTTTCATGGCTTTTAAACTCTCTAGTTTATGGCCTCTTATTATGGTAGCCCAAACTGAGTAACACAGCCACAGGGACAACTCCACTCTCTTCTCTTGCCTTCCTGGGTACCACTCTCACCTGTTTGCCTTATCTGTCTCACTGGTTACTTCTCTTGTTCCTTTGTAGGTTCCCTTTTCATCTCTTTTACCTTTAAAGTTTGTATGGGCACAGTAATCTATCCCAAGAACTCACCTCTATCATTTCTTTGATGAAATTATACTTTTCACTGGATCTACTAGTTTTTTTACACAAAACTGTCAAACTTACATATCTAGTAAGATGATTTTCCTAAATTGAGGACTCATAATCCAACTACCTACTTTACATCTCCACTTGGCTTTCTGAAACTTAATATAGTCTAATCTGACTCCATTATCTGTCTCCAAAATGTTTTTTTCTCCCAATTCCAGTGAATAAAAAGGCTCACCCTTCTAACTTTGGACTCATCTGTGATTTCTCTATTTTATCTGTATCCCATGTTAGCAGATCAGCAAATATGAGGCTGGAGGCCTCTCCTTTGATTTCTACCACTCCCCATCTCTTGCCATTCCCATTCCATTCCATCCTGTTCTGAACACAATGGCCAGAGTGCGCCTTTTAAAACATAATTAGGACAATTTCAACAAATAATAT